TCTATCTATCTATCTATCTATCTATCTATCTATCTATCTAGATGAAACCACCCCTGGTCACGTTTCCATCCCTTTGTTTCCCCCTCACAACACAACTTAAAAAAAAAAAAAAAAAACAGAGAAAGAAAAAAAAAGCCAGATGTGGTGTTCACACCTTTAATCCCTCTATCTCTGTGAGTTCAAGGCCAGCCTGGTTTGTATAGTAAAACCCTGTCTCATTTAAACTATTTACATAGCTTCTGTCCTTTCCCTTCTCTATTGCTATGTCAAGATCACCAAAGCTTGCATGCTGCCAGGTTTGGTTTGCCCTTGTTTTGTTTGTTTTTTGAGACAGGGTTTCTCTGTATTTTTGGAGCCTGTCCTGGAACTCACTCTGTAGACCAGTGTGGCCTTGAACTCAGAAATCTGCCTACCTCTGCCTCCCGAATGCTGGGATTAAAAATATGTGCCACCACTACCCAGCTTGCCCTTGTTTCTTAACTTTGCAGTGATATTCAAGAGAAGTCTCTTTACTTGAAAACATTGATCTCTTAATTTTCTCCACATCATACCCACCCTAAGTTTTCTTCCTACTTCCTTGCTGTTCCATGTTAGTCTCCTGTGTTGGCAGCTTCTTTATTGGTGAATACCAGTTGCCCTAGACAGATGTGAAATCCCCCCATGGTTATATAATTGTCTTCTGGTGACTTTCAAATTTGTATATCAAAGCTTAAACAAAGATGCAAATATATATTCTTAGAACTACTACTTGATTTTAGAAAGCATCTCAAACAGATTTTATATAAAGCACAACTCCTCACTTTCCAATTCTCAAGTATATTGTGTACTTCTGCCTTCTTCCATAATTCTTTTTCTATTTATTTACTTATTTATTTTTGTTGTGGTTTGGGTTATGGTCTCTATATAGCCCAAGCTAGCCCAGAACTCAGTCTGAAACCTGGCTAGCATCTCATTGATTTTCCTCCTGCCTCAGCACCAGAGTGCTGAGATCAATACCCTGCTGTGCCCAGATCTTTCTCCAGTTAACTGCTACTCATCTCAGTAAAGTAGCCTGCTCACTCATTCATTCCAGCCAAACCTACTCCGTTATCTCCCCCATCTTCAATCCTTGCACATGGTTGGAATTTTCTTTCCAAGTGTTCTCATCTGCTAAGTGTTAAGAATGATGGAACCCTTGACAGAAACTCCATGGCAGGTTGCTTAACTCTGAATATACCATAGACTCCTTGGATTATGCGTGTTTTAGTAATGAGGCCACCCCATAGGCTTTACCATCACAGCCACAGCCCCTGTCCTACCTAGTTTCATATCTTTATTTGCTGTGATGACCTACTTTTTCCACTCTAGATCCCTCTCAAGCCATGCTTTGTGTTGGCCAGACTGATCTTTTTACTCCCTTACTTAATATTTAAGTGAGTTTACATCACACTTAGACTAATGTTTCCATCACAGTCATTGCTTTCAAGGCTCTTTGCTAGCTGGCTAGTGTATGCACACTTCCTGCATTCTCAATTCCTGTGTTTCAACTATATTGGCCTATTCTCTTAAACACAGCTATGACTTTTCCTGTTTCACAACTTTTGTATTTGCTGTTTACACTGCTTTTTCTTCCTCCTGCTCAATAGCTGATTAGTTCTTATATTTCAGATCAGAGTCACTGTGTAATAGAGCTCTCCAGCTTAGTTGCTCTCGATTCACTCTGATTGCCTTCATAGCACTTTTAATTGTGTGGAAATCAGACACATGTCTCTCTCTTCATTGGGAGGAGGGGCACATGTGCTACCACAGTGTGCATGTAAAGATCGAGAACAGCTTTCAGGTGCTGATTCTTTCCTTCCACCATGGGTTCCACAGATCCAGGGGAGATTGAGGCTTGCATGGCAAGGGATCTTACCTGTGAGCTATCTTGGTAGACCCTTTTTAAAATTTCTTTCTATACACTAGAATGTAAGCTTTAAGAGGCAGAGTGGGATGTATACTAGAATATAACCTTTTAGAAGGAAGTATATTATATATACTAGAATATAAGATTTAAGAGGCAGTGTGTGATAAAGACTAGAATGTAAGCTATAAGAGAGCAGTGGCAGTGTGTGATGTTTCAGCTCCTGGAATCCTAGCTCCTGAAACTGCATGGCAGTGCTGTAGACTGTCAGCAAATGTGTATTATTGTTGCAGGCATATATGTTTATTTAGCAATACATTCATAATGCAGAATGCATATACATACTTCATAGCAGTAAATGATTATAATAGTATTTTCTTTTGATTTAATATATTAACAGAACCAGAAAGGATGTCCCTCAGAAGTGGTCTCCAGTAGTGACAACACCATCGGGGACTTGTCTGTGAAGACCTTACAGTTAGTGCCAAGTTCACTATTATTTTTATTACTACTGATCCATTTGTAAAAGGAAATTGACATCATTTGTGTTTACAGTCTGAGGCTTTTTCTACTGGGAGTATACTTAAGAGAATTTAATATTAAAATACTGTTGTATGTGGAACATTAGAACTTTCTTTTTCTACTGTTTAGTTGTTTTAATGACTAAGAGAAACTCACCAAGGATTTTAACTTTTCTTTCAGTCAGGTTTATTTATTTATTTATTATTGTTATTTTTAATGTCATGTTTTCATTCTGGTAAGGCATCATTATTAAAACTAATATTTTTTTCCAGGCCTAAAATCTGTCTAATTTATCAGGAGAGGGGGGTGTGAACTATCACATTTTAATACCTCTGTTTGATTGATCAGTTCTGATCCAGATGCCCTCTTTCCCTTCTCTTTGATTATGTATGTTTTAAGTTCTTTCATGAACTATTGGGATTTAATTATATATACCAAAATACCCAGCTCCTTTTCATTAAAATTTTTTTCATGCAATATATTTTGATCATTTACCCCTGCCCCAACTCCTAGGTCCTCCCTCTCAATCAACTTTATGTTCATTCTCTCAAGAGAGGGAAAAAAAAAAAAAAAAAACAAGAAATGCAAAAATGAAAATCAGAACAGTCAAAAGACCAATAAGACAAAAAAAATGCCCAAACAAAGCAAAATAAGAAGTCTACAGAAATACCACTGAGTCTGTTTTGTGTTGGCCAACTACTCCTTAGCATGGGGCCTGACTTGGAGTGTAGTTGATATACCCAGTGAAACTTCATTGGAGAAAACTGATTTTCTCTTTGCCAGCATGAACTATCCAGCTCTTAATTACACAATTTAGTGAGTTTGACTTAACATATATAGCTATAGATCCAAAACTTGGGAGGCAGATGTGGGAGAAGAATCATTCAAAGATTGCCTGGGCTACATGGCTAAGCCTTGGCTTGTAAAAAACCAAAAACCTAGAAAGGCTACAGAAAATGGTTTCACTCTGCCTAGATCTCAGCCTTGGCAGTGCTGGTACTGAGTTGCGACTGCCGTGTGCAATGATGTTGCAGTTTCTTGGCCTCTTGGCCTGCACCACTGTGCCAGGAGCCACTCCTTCCCCAGCTGTGAGGACAAACAGTCCTTCCAGATCTTGGCAGTTAGCCTCAAGAGTGCACTTACTGCCATAGACAGTGCTTTGTAGTCCTCTCACGTGTCCCTTTCTTTCAGAAGGGGCCATAAATATTATAACTTTCTAGCCCCACAGGTCACTATTAAACTTCAGTAGTTTTAAAACGGTTGGATTTTAAGATCTGACAAATGAAGTTAGATGAGGTGAGGTAATCAGATTTTTATTAAAGTTCAAAATAATCAGTACCTCCCTCTACTCTATTATCAAACCTATATTTTATTTTTTATAACATAAAGTGAAAAACTTTTGCCGACGTCTGTGGTGCACACCTTTAATCCAACACTTGGGAGGCAGAGCCAGGCGGATCTCTGTGAATTTGAGAGGACAGCTAGGACTGCTTCACCAAGAAACCCTGTCTCGGGGAAAAAAAAAAAAAAGAAGAAGAAAAAAAGTGGAAAACTTTTACAAAGATAAAAATTGCAAATTGTCAATAACAGGTTTTGAGTGGAAGAAAACTTTGTTAATGAAGCAAGAAAAGAATGCAAGTTTTAAAGAAAACAAAGGGAGCAGGAGAATCTATAGTTGGTACCATTAAAGCATGGCTCACCACCAAATGATAGCCCCCCCTAGTGATATCAGGTCCTGAAGAGCTGAGTGACCAAACTTCATTTTTAAAAACTTTGAGGCAGTTTGGATTGACTGTTCCTTCTGTGATGTGAGGTTAGATTAAAGACCAGACCTCATGTAAGCAGCATTTGGTTTTCTGAGATAAGGAACAAAGTATGTGGATTTGGACTGGAATTGTAAAATGATATAACAAGCTTATAGCCTAGGAAAATAGTGAATTTGGGGTTTTCTTTTTACATAATTGCTAAGATTTCTGTTTTTCATTGTTTTTCTTTAAGGCAAATTGCTCTTGAAGAAAATGATTGGCTATTCCAAACCAAAGGTAAGTTGGGTAGAAAATCAAAAAATATTGATCATTGTGAATAAGTAACCTAATGAAATTTTTTTTATTTTCTTCCTTTTTAACTTTCAAGTCTGCCTGTTTTTCTGCTCAGAGTAACTTTAATTTACATAGACTGATAGAGGAATAAAAAATCCATCCAAAGCATGAGTAGTAGCTTATACCTGTATTCCCAGCACTCAGGAGGATGAGTGTCCTAGTTAGGGTTACTATTACTGTGATGAAACACCATGAGCAAAAGCAGTTTGGGGATGAAAGGGTTTATTTCATTCACAGTTCCATGTTCATCATCAAACACAGGGCAGGAACTCAAACAGGGCAGGAGCTGATGCAGAGGCCATGGAGGAGTGCTGCTTACTGGCTTGCTCCTTATAGCTTGCTCAGCCTGCTTTCTCGTTGAACCCAGGACCACTAGCCCAGGGATGGCCACACACACAATGGTTGGGCCCTCACACATGAAGCACTAATTAAGAAAATGCCCTCCCACACAACCCAAGTCAGAAGCTCATTTTTTAATAAAAGGGGGACCTGCAGGGCCCTGGCCCCCGTTTTGGGTAACTGTTGCCTTGCTTGCGGCCCTTGACCTTGATATCCTCCCAATGCTAATTCCCTTCCAGGTTCCACCCTCCTGAATGCTTAAGGGGAGTTCCTTGTCTGTTTATCCTGAATAATGGGCGTTAACAGCTTAGATGCAAGATTGTAAACATCAGTAGCAAACTTCTGCCCTCTGGGGTCCTCCCATTGTGCTGTAAGCCTGTATTTAGGACCTACCCCCTTCAAGAAACGACATTCAACATTTAAAATTAATAATTGAATGAATACTGCGAATGTAATCTATGAATAACACAAATGTGATTAATATCATGAGTGTAATTTAAAAAATAAATTAAAAAAAAATGAGGAAAAAAAAAAAGAAAATGCCCTACATGCTTACAGCATGATCTTCTGGAGGCATTTTTCAGTTGAGGCTCCCTCCTCTCAGCTGACTCTGGCTTGTGTCAAGATGACATAAAACTAGCCAGCACAGTGAGGCAGTGGAGTCAAGAGTTCAAGGCCATCAGAGTACATAGCTGAGACCCTATCAGGAAAAATAATAGCAACATACCTATTCATTGTGCCAAGACTATAAGGAGAAATTCTGGTTGTATCTGTAGTTGCAGTCAACTGCTATATGCTATAGCATTTTACATAGATTGTCTTAGTTAACCCTGTTGTAGCCTAGGAATGTAATCCATTTTCTGTAGCCTCAGAGAAAGTAAAGCATCTTACCAGAAGTGATTGAGAAGGAACTTTGACACCCAGGACCGTACTTTTTTGTACTAGGCTTCACAAAATGGATGGAATTTGAGTTAGCAAAACCAGGTGAAATCCCTGCTTTTCCTATAAATACAGATGATATTTATCTGAAAGGCCTACCTAACAATTATCCAAATCTTAGTCACTTTCAAAAAATAATTTTTTTTTAACAACATACATTTTTTATTTTTTATTTTATTTATTTATTTTTTTTTTTTGGATTTTTCGAGACAGGGTTTCTCTGTGTAGCTTTGCGCCTTTCCTGGAACTCGCTTTGGAGACCAGGCTGGCCTCGAACTCACAGAGATCCGCCTGCCTCTGCCTCCCGAGTGCTGGGATTAAAGGCCGCCCGGCATCAAAAAATAATTTAACTTATACTTTCATAGTATATTTTCTCACTTCAGAATTTGAAGTTCTCTTCTTCTCTGTGCTCACAGATTAAACAGAGAGGCTATTCCTTTTTCTTTAAACATTTGAGCCAGAGGCACATAAAACCCTCTTATATACATAATTAGTATGTATTTGCTTATGTTGAGGGGGGGTTGTTTTGTTTTTTGAGACAAAATCTCATATATGTAGACCTGGCTTTGAACTCAGAGATCCTTTGCCTTCTGAGTGCTGGGATTAAAGGCTGACACCAGACTTCAGTTCTTGTGTTATTCTGAGACAGTGTCTCAGGCAGTCCTAGAGCTATGTGCCACATGCTGGACCTTGCTTGATCCTCTTGCATCTGCCTCCCAAGTATGAGTTACCACACGTGACTTTTCATTCCCACAGTATTTTTAAATGCTGATGTAAGCTGTTGGTTATTCAATGATGAGTAAATAGATGGCATTATTGAGCTTTCTCAATTTGTTTCTATGTTTTATTTACTTATAGTAAATACAGGGAAACTAATGAATAATTACTGTAACTTCTAATGTTCTTGGAATGCAAATTTCTGAAGCATAATACTGTTTCCCTAATTTGTTTCTTAAATGTTCAGAACCAAGTCCTACTGTTTCTCCAGACACACTGGGGAGTAATTTTGATTCAGGTAAAGTCAAGTCTACTAATGATGTCATACCTAGAACTGTGTCTTTCCGTCGCCACTTAAAGAAAGATTTTAATAATGTAAGTTGCTCCACTGCTTTGGAGGATTGTGAATCCAGTCATTGGGTGAGACAGTCTTTGGAAGTTAGAAGAAGTGGATGTAGAGACCCAACTGTAACTCTGCACAAACTTGAAAATGTAGAACAAAATGTTTGTCTGTGGAACAAGGACCAAATTAACTTATCCCCTAAACTGACGTGCCCAGAAAAGAATGCTAAAACAAAAGAAGTCATTTTACCATCTAAACCTGAACAAATGAAAAGTATGCATAAATGTGCACGTAAAAGAAGAGCCAACCAGAGATGCAAATCAAAACCCTCATTGAGGTGTAAGGGCAACAAAAGCAAAGATAAGCAGACTTTACACCCCACAAAATTGAATGGGTCTATTAGTTCCAGCGATGCTTATGATTTTAATCTCGAAGAGTGTGTTCACCTCTCCCCTTTCCGACAAAAAATGAGCAATGGCTGCAGTGGAGAAATCAACAGCAGGGACTTGGAAGAGAGTGCTTTTGAACTGAGTGCCTCTGAGGATGAGTCTGATGACCTCTACCTGCCTCCTCACAAGCACTTGCAAGACCACACCAGAGAGTCAGACACAATCACCAGGCCTCGGCCTAAAAGAGGACTCCAGTACACGGATGAAAAAGACAGAGAGAGGGCGCCACCAACCAGAGCTACTACCGGTAAGCAGTGCTTATTTGCCTGGGTTTTGTATGTTTCTGCTAACTGGTTGCCCCTGATGCTTATGTATTGTTAGATACTGTACCTGCCATCTTTTACTCTGGGGGAGTCTAGATACTTCCCATCTGTGTTCTCTGTATGGGAAGTATAGACTGGTTAAATAGTAGGGGCAGAAAATAGAAACATGGCTGTGTTATTCTGACTTAGAAGCAAATAGGACTCTTACAGGATTATTACTTCTCAAAGTCTGATTCCTGTCAATAGAGGAGACTTGAGCAGGGTGAGGAGAGGACAGATTGTGGTTGGATTGAATTAAAAGATCTTCTTTACGCTTGTGATCACCTGGAAAATGAAAAACACAACAACAACAACAAAAACCTCTCATTTTAATGGACTTGCTATATATTTAATTTAACAGGAACCATGGCTTACTTTTCTAGTTGAAGGTGAGTTTATGAGAGCAAGAAGTTCTTTTCTCATTTGCTGAAAACTTTAGCTCAGAAACCCTGCTTTTATTTTATCAAAAATGGTTCATTATTAGTCATCAGCCTGCACCTATTCACAAAGACTCCTTTGGGAGTTTGATTCCTGTGGCAATAGCTCCATGCTGTCAGGGTCAGAGTGTTGTCACATTCTAACAGCTCAGTCAGCATGCTTGATTTGCTTAACTTGGGATATTAAAGCCTGAAACAATGAATCAATTTCCTAGTTGAACAGCTGGACAGTGTAGCTTGCAAGAATCTATTTTTAAACTATGTATGATGGGTATTCCCTCTGCTTTCAGTAGCTGTTTCTCTTTTTCTTAATAAATCTGTTTGCTCTACTCTAAACAAAAATATTTTAATGACAGAATAAATTGAGCAGGATTGGCAAACTGTTGATAATTAATTGAAATTGAGTAACATGGAGCTTAAATGAACTCTTGTTACTACTTTTCTTGTTCTTTTGAAAACATTGTTTCAAAAAGAACAAACACAAACACTGAAATAGTTTGACCCCAGACTTCCACCAGCAGCATTGCATGAAAACAGTGATAATAACAAGTTTTGTCCTGTCCCTTGAGTTAGAATTGGATTATTTTTATAAGTTCCCCTAGGAGTTTATAAACACTTATGGTTTGGGACGCATTCTAGAATATAACAGCTGGTCTAATCCTGTTGCTTGGAGATAGTCTACACTATTAATACAGGATGGTTGTATATATTTATGGTGACAGGAGAGTACTCTATACTTAAAAAACTGTTGGAGAAGATTGTCTTTCCGTGTTCTCACTATACATAGGTACTTTCCTCCCAATATAGATGTAGATGAGAGCTAGAGGACCTAGGTGTTTATGGTGGAAGAGATACCTGGATCTCAGGGATAGAGGGACCAGATGTTTCTGGTGTTGGAGACATCTGATTTTTGTAACATTAGCACCAGTGGGAACGCATTATATCCTGGACTTCACGGACTGATTGAAAGTTCTTGTATGTTTAATGGAATGAATTGAAGGACCTTTGTAGTCAGTGGGCCTCCAACAGTGTTACAACTTTGGTGTTGAATGACACTGGAGCCTTGATGATTCTAAGTATTAAAGTGTGACTAAAATGCAATTTCATACTTTAAACCAACTCATAACATCTAAGCTATTGGGGGAAAAGGTTAAGTTTTAGTAAACATTTCTGTTGTAGCCAGCAGTTCTTTATATCTGCCATAGTTTTTACATTATCTGGCTTGAAAGGAAGAAAAAGCAAGAGCAAGTTTTTAAAACATAGATCATGAAGTGCCAGGTATTTTGTGTATTTAAAATACATAATTGACCATAGCTTTATTTCTGTGGTTTTTAATTCCTTGGATGGATATTTAATAAACACTGTACTATAGGTATCCCACCCAAGAATCAAGAGTCACCTGGTCGTAGCCTAAAGGATGTCACCAATATCCTGCTGCACCCTGTAGTGAAAATCAGGAAACTTTCTCTGTCTCCAAAAAGGAATGAAGACAGCCCGGCAGTGTCTCTGCCTAAGCGCAGGTGCACCACCATCACAAACTATAAAGAGCCGACCCTCGCTTCGTAAGTACTGTGTGGACTCATCTATAACAACTCTTATGGGAGGGCTGAAGAAGGACTTTAGTCATGAATGGATCATATTTGAGGATTAAGACTGGCATATTTTTAGGATAATCCTGTGCTGAATTAATGCTGATCTATTTATAATCCTGCCTAAAATTTCTTTTTTACCTACAGGAAACTAAGAAGAGGGGACCCTTTCACAGACTTGTGTTTCTTAAATTCTCCTATTTTCAAGCAGAAAAAGGATATGAGACGTCCTAAAAGAAGTACAAAGCAAACACAGTAACTCCTTTTGTTGGATGCTGTTGAAGATGATCCTTCTCTTTTACCCAGTAGATTCTGTGAGACAGTGTGCAGTGTGCAGAACCATCCCTTATCAGGATATCCCTTGGATCTATACTTTGTAATTGTGTGAATTGCTACCAACATCTAAAATTTCTCTAGCATCTTTACTTTTTTCCTTAAGCAGGGGGAATTACAGAGTTGACAAGAAGTAAAGATAGGATATAAATCTTTCATAAATCCTTGACATCACAGTAAGACATACCGTAAGTTGCTGAGAATCCCTTATTTTACTGTCATACTGGTTCTTTGGGTGAAACATATATGGAATCATGATTAAGAGAACTGATGGTTTTGGTTCTGGGACAAGATAACTGTTGTGAACTCTCGGTGTGTGCAACATCATTCTTCAGAATCAACATGTCATGTACCTCAGGCTAACTCTTCATGTTGTCAGAAGTTCACAAGTATAAATATGTGAATAGTAAGGGTTTCTGGTTTTGATTTATGTACAAAATGTAAATAGTCCAGTTCAGAAAGTTGAACGTCTATGGGTGTATATAAATTTCCTTAAATTTAAATCACTATAAGTGGTCCATTTTTTAAGAACAATGAAATCTGGCCATGCATATTGGTGGCCATTATGTTTTCTTTCTGCTCTTAACTGTCAAGTCATCTTGATTATCTTCCTCTCTGGCCTTTACCACTCCCACCTTAGCTGTTTCCTCTTCTGTTGTCCCTGTCAACTTTTACCTCCCTTCACATTGGATTTGTCTTATCAAGTCTTCCCACCTGCAGCTAACATTAGGCCCCAAATCAAGACATTTCAATTTGGGGCTCAGCAGTAGAACACTTGCTTCATATGGGTAAGGCCCAGGAATAAACCCCACTGCAAACAATAGATTTCTAAAATTTCTCAGAAAGGCTTTCTAGTGTTCATCTCAGACGTTACCCACATCTCCATGAATTCCTGCATTTCCCTTCAGTCACACTGGCAGCTCTTCTCGTCACTAATGTGCATCCCACTCTCCCATCACAGGTTTATTTTTCCAGCCACTCTTTTTTTTTCCAGTGCTGAAGACAACCCAGGGCCCTGTGTGTGACAGGCACAGCCACAGCAGTGTACAACCACTCTGTTTATCTTTGTAATATCATTGTACCTTGAGAGTGACAGTTTTAGCTAAGAGTAAATACAAGTAAAAGTCCAGTTTTGTCTCAATGGGCCTCACATGGACGTGATTACTACAGTGCAGCGTACGCAGAGGTAGACTGTATTCTGATCAACACTGAGCAAGCTGGCATGTGGACCATGTTTTATACAAGCTAAGTATAGATGTAACTGTCTTACTAAATAAGAAACACAGAGCTAATACAGAGATGAAAGCCAAGAGGTCAGAGCAATAGCTAAGAGCTAAAAAACCTTACCTTTCACTGTCACTGTTGTCCTACCTCTCCGAAAGAGACCTACTTCCTGTGTGTTTGTGCTTTTTATTGACTTTCTATTCTGCCTTCTCATTGGTTGTAAACCCAACCACATGACCTCCTCGTCACTGCCCGTCTGTACAGACCTCCAGGTCTTCTATGGTTGGTATTGAGATTAAAGGCGTGTGTCTCCATGCTGGCTGTATCCCTTGAACACAGAGATAAACTCTGCCTCCCAAGAGCTGGGATTAAAGGCGTGCGCCACTAACGCCCGGCTCTGCTATGGCTTGCTATGTATGAGCTCTGACCCCCAGGCAACTTTATTTATTAACATACAAATACAACAGTGACAGTGAAGGATAAGGTTTTTAGCTCTTAGCTATTGCTCTGACCTCTTGGCTTTCATCTCTGTATTGGCTCTGTGTTTCTTATTTAATAAAAACGTTACATCTACAGCTAAGTTTAGTTTTTATGTATTTAAAAAGTTGAAAACAAATATTTGGATTAAATTTTGCTACTTGGTCTACAGAACCCAAGATATTTATTTCCTGGCCCTTTTTCAAAAAATTTTTCATAGCCTGGTGTGATGGTGCATACCTGTAATCTCAGTACTGTACAGGCTGAGGCAAGAGGATCCTGTTTTAGACCAGCTGTGCTACATGATCTCAAAAAGCCAAAAAAAATATTTTTCTACTTCCTTATGTAAACATCTGAATGTTTACTTCAAAGATTTTTGTGTCTTATGTCAACCTGATCTACACTCCATGCCGGTCACTATTATCTTTCCAATTTTAGTATGTGTGCTGCCAAAGCGAGCACCAGTCATTTATCTTAAAACTGCTATGAGACTTTCAGTCTTTTTCATGTTTCTGTATTCTTGGTGTAGTGTTTATTCATAGGCTGTTAAGGGTTTTGTGTCAACATTTTTATCTGATATGCACTGTATTATATATATTGTATATTCCGATTTATAATTGACTTTGGAGTTTGAAACTTACCATGTTGGTAGATAAAGGTTATTTTTGTTGTACAACATCTTAGTAATAAACCAGACTTAATGCCTCTTTTGAGAAGTAGCCAGTTGCCACTTTCTTGTTATTTTAAAAATTACAGCTGCAATTAATAGTCTTTAGCTCTCCAGGGCCTTCTGTAAAGGCCAGGCCCCTCATCAGGATATTTCATGATCCTCTAACACATCAGCTTACACCCCAGCCTCACATTAATGTCTTACTTCTGAATTCCTTGGTGTTCTATTCCTTCTCCAATAATAGTCTTAAAAGCTAGCATTTAACTGTCCTTGTTTTATTACAGTGTAAAAGGTATTAAGAGGAGCAATTCTAGCTGGGAATGGTGGTGCACGCCTTTAATCCCAGCACTCGGGAAGCAGAGGGAAGTGAATCTCTGTGAGTTTGAGGCCAGGTACAGAGCAAGTTCCAGGACAGCCAGGGCTACACAGAGAAACTGTCTCGAAAAACAAAAAATAAAAAATAAAAAAAGAAGAAAGAAAAGGAGCAATTCTACAAGGTGGTACATGTAACAAATAGATGAAGCAAAATATATTCTGGCTTTATGTTTCTAGAAAAGATGGCGAGTTGTGGCTTGATGGAAGATTCGTTAGGTGTTCTACAACCACATGACAACCCTCATTAGCTCTTGGTATCAAATCCTGTTCAGTAATTGATCAATAAAGAGTATCTGCCAGAGATGTAGAGTGGTAGAGCATGTGTGAGACTCTTGGCTTCAATACCCAACACCACACCAAAAAAGTAAAACTAATATGGAGAAATGTAAAATAAATGAGTGAATGAGGAAATGAATGAATAAGCAACTGAGACCTGGAGAGGAATGGAGACAATGACTACTAGACTCAAGCCAGTGAAATGGCTCATTAACAGCACTTGCCAGCAAGACTAATTAAGTTTGATCCATAGAACCCATATGGTAGAAGGAGAGGACCAACTCTACAAAGTTGTCCTCTGGCACATACAAAATAAATATTAAAAAAAAAAAAATTCACAAGGAGCCAGTCTTAATCCTAGTATTCATGTCTTAATCCTAGTATTCAGAAGCATGAACCAGAAGGATCTAACTTTGGGGCCAGCTTATACCACAAAATACAGTTCTGTCTCAAAGATAGGTATGATAGGAATTCTAACCACACCCCCACGGTCGCATGCCCTGCCCTGTGGAACATTTAGTCATTTCCATCTAGTCATTCCCAGTCATACATTCTACTTAACCCTTGCCCCATGGCTGCATGGTCACATGACCACGCGGGTGTGACCACATGATCTATGCGCATGCGTGGAGTAGCCACGTGGGCCTATGTGCACAGGTGTGAACTGGCCGTTAAAAGGCAGGCTCCATGTTCCCCCGCCCCCTTTTCACACGTGTCCTTCCACAGGCCTGATCACATCTATCCCTTTCTCCTTGTCTTAATAAAACTCGTTAGTGGATTCTGTCATGTTTTATAACTTTTCCTTGCAGGGTAAAAGCGCCGCTAGAAACCATCATTGGTACCATGCACAACAGCCACTCTCGGGCACTTTGTGCCTGGAAACCTGTACCCAGGGAGTCTGCTCCATCCATGACAGCCCACTGTCCATTTGCCTGGCCGTGGGACCGACACACAACACTGGCTACTTCGACTTGGTGAGTCCCCCACTTTTCAGCCAGCATACATAGTCTCCTGGATCCATGGGGATGACCATTGAATGTCTGGCACTCCACTAGTGTTCTTAAGACTGGAGGTACCCCCTGACCATGGTCTTCACTGGCTACAGTCGGTCCCTATCACAAGCTAAAATTTCTAGCCATCTCCCACATCTGCAGTTTGAGATATAATTCTCGAAGTCGGACCCCTGTCTTCAGGTGTGTCTTCAGGCTGTGTAAGGTCGACACATTTTTCTGGCTTGATGAAGCAGTAAGTGCTGTCAGACTCCCGGGGAGTCTTTGCCTTCACATGCCTTAGGCCCCTGCCTTACGTCTGACTAGTCCTTTGGTGGTTTGTGCCTGGTACAGATCCATCTTTGGACTTAGGGACGTCTGGGGCCTTGGCTTGGGATCACGTTTGGTTTTTTATTTTTTTTGTTTTTTGCCTCTTTGCTGCAGACATGGGAAATAAGGCTTCCAATCCCATCAGTCCCATCTCTCCCCTAGGATGTCTTCTGGAAGCTTTAAAACTTCTCAGCTCAATGCCTTGCTTAAAGATTCCTAAGCTTATCCATCTCTGTACTAAGAGATAGCCTAAATATGCCTTAGAAAACAAAAAAATGGCCGCCTTAGACCCTGATATTTTATGGGAATTATCTAACTTCTGCCAGCTAACAGGCAAATAAAAAGAGTTGCCCTACATTATAGCTTTTTTTCTATGTAAGTTCTAAGCCATCCCTTCTGGACTCCTTCTCTCCTGCTCATATGCTCTTAGCTATGCAACCTGAACCTGAGGATTCTCTGACTCTAAAACCTCTAGCTCTAGATCCTACAAATGAACCTCTGCCTATCCGACCTTCCGCTCCCACTCCTGCTCCCAGGGTGCCTGTCCCTTTGGCTCCTCCTCTGGCTTCCTCCTCCTCTTCAACAGCAGCCATTTCCAAAGGCCCAGCTCTGGCTCCAACCTTTATGCCTCCTGCTACCCGCTCTCAGACTGCTAAAGGGTCTGACCCTAGACATTCAAACCCACCAACCATACTCTCTTTGTGAGAGATGGCCAGAGTGGATGGACTGGTTAAAGTCCATGTCCCATTGTCTCTCACAGAACTCTCTCAGATAGAAAAGAAACTGGGTTCTTATACCTCTAATTCTGCTTCCTTTATTAAACAGTTTCAATATACCACTCAATCTTATAGTCTCACCTTTCATGACATATATATGATACTTGCTAATAATCTACTTCCTGAGGAGCGCAGGCGGGTTTGGGAGCAGGCTAGGACGCATGCCGATGAGGTTCACCAAACTAACCCTGCACACCCTCTAGGGGCTGAGGCAGTTCCTGATCAGGACCCACGTTGGGATTATAACACCCAGGGTGGGTCTCTACCCAGGGATAGGTTTATTACCTGTCTCTGGGCAGGCCTCTGTAAGGCTTCCCTAAAACCAGTAAACTATGAAAAACTAAAAATGATAATTCAAGATAAGGACAAAAATCTGTCTCATTTCTTAGAACAGCTCACTAAGGCCCTCCTTCAATACACTAGCCTAGATCCTGAAAGCCCAAAGGGCAGGCAGCTCCTAATGACCCACTTTGTCTCACAGAGATTCCTCGACATAAGGGCAAAACTTAAACACTTGGAGAAAGGCCCTCTAACCCCACAGAGGGTCAGAGTTAGCGGTGACATTTAAGGTGTACCATGGAAGAGATGAAAAAGCCCAAAAAAGAAACTGCCAGATGCTGGCCCATGCTGTCCATCCGGCTCCCCCAAAGCTGGGTCCCTGTTTCAAGTGCAGGAAAGATGGCCACTGGGCCAGGGCTTGGGGCACCTATAGGGCCTTGCCCAAAATGTTGTCAAAAGGGTCACTGGTCAGCTGACTGTCCTAATGCACCTAG